TTGCTAAGTTATTGACTAATTTATGGACTGAAAATGAGACTTGATGACTTGATGCGATACTTGGGCTATGAGCAATCAGTGCAGGAAGTGATTAATATCGGAGACCGATATTGCATAGATGGTTGTAGATCATAGTAGACTGAGTATCGTCAAATGTAGGTGCATGGGCTATGAGCTTCCGGTGCAGGATGCGAAAGGTGATGTAAATCATCGCACAGACGGTCGCAGATCATAGCAGACTGTGCAATTAGATGACTAAGATATTGAGCATAGGTTGTGAGCGGTTAGTGCAGAAGGCGAATGGTGTCATGCAAATGACATCGCACAGATAACCGTAGATCACAACAGACTGTGCATGACATGACATGAAATGACTTATGACATAAAATAGATGGAATGGTCTATTTTTAATGTACGGCATTGATTTCACTATGGTTATACTATGTTCTATGGTATAGATGAAATGTGTATTATCCTAGGTTATTGATAAAATTATCATGATATTGTGTAAATTAATTGATTTAATAATGTATTTTTACTCCCCTCTCCATATGTTTGTTTATTGAATGTTTATTGATCAAGTGAGAGGACTCACTTTAAAAGGATGGCCGAGCTGTTAGCTTTATAATATTAAGTTGAATGCTGGTAACATTATTTGTGATAATTACATTATTGCTTTTTGACTTTTGCTGTCTACCGACATCAAAAGTAATATTATAATGTACTTCGAATGGAGGGACACACTTTGTATTCAGCAATCGAACTGTACGGATTAAAACCAATTATTACCTAACTTGTATTTTACTCAAGTGAAACTGAATTGATCCTTCAATCATCAACAGACTATAAATGCCCACTGCTGAGCAAAGCCTCTTCTCACACGGAGAAGGTTAGAGCATTAATCACCACGCTTGCTCAATGCGGGTTGGCGATTTCAAACTTATAATTAGAAATTATAAGTCCAGGTTTCCTCACGATGTTTTTCCTTCACCGTTTGTCAGTGGTGTCTAAATAATCTTAGAAAGTACATATAACTCGGAAAAAGTCACATTGGTACTTGCCGTTGGTAGGTTTCGAACCCGCACCCTCATGCATGAGAAGTGGGCGTCTTAAACCTCTGGGCCACCACGACTACATATCAACGTAGATACTACCACGCCAATCTTCTTCGAACGGTAGCAGCGATTCTATGAAGTTATTTATTTCTTTGCCTAATGTTTTATAAAAAGATTTTAAACTAAAATTTCCGAAAAACCAGTAAAATCACGATTATCTTTTGCCTGATGCAGGAATCGAATCTGAGACCCATTGTTTGGTAGTCAAGTAAATTGCTTTTTTAAGGTATCCTTGATATGATATCCATCCTCGACCTTTGGTAGAAAGATTACTTAAGTCGCAAAATTATACATACATACGAAATATATTTGATTTGTAATCTGCCAAAGAAGATTATGCTTTTGATGGAATCACGTTATTAGCTATTACATTACAAATTCAGATTACATGTCCAAACCTTCGGATGACATTTACTAAGAATTGGACCCTTGACATTCATATAAATATTGAACAAATCTTTCAATCTTGAAAATATATCCTAATCCCCGAGTGGCCGGTAACTCACTTCTGTTTCAGGTGTCCATGGGCGGCGCCGGTTGCTCACCATCAGGTGATTCTTCTGCTCGTTTACCGGCTTATCCCAAAAAATATATCTCTATAATTTTATATGCACAGTGACTTACCCAGTGGTGATAGCAGGTTAGAATATGTTTTTTACTAGATTAGAGAAGACTTTCTTTCTTAAGGGGGGAATATCATCGTATGGCTTTTCTCGCCTGGGTAAGGCGGGAGGTAAATTTCGAACGTCACCCTTGTGCATGAGGTGGTAGTTATCTAGGCAGGAAACCAGTGATCAAGGAGCTGGTCTTAAATCCTTGACGCCGGATGTCTCTTTAAACACTTTATCTTTCTATATGTGTTCGATCCACCCAAAAATGAGAAGCGAGCGCCCTTAACCGCCGGGCCACCTCCTCAAACACACACACACACACACACACATTAAAACCAATCAACATCTTTCATTCGCCCTTGACTATATAACAAAATAGAGGGGGCCTAAAAAGGTAACATTGGGTGAATCATTTCTAATATGACAGATTTGATGAATTGTTAGAGAATCACCTAAATCACCATAAAATGGTAACAATAAAATATGAAACACCTTCAATTCATTTCATATCTGAATCATATTAGATGCCAATGTTGCTACATAAGAAATATATAGAGAGAAACCGAACCGTAACTTTACCGGTTTTGTTTATCTTGTGTTTTATTATAACTTGAATTAAAAATTTCGATCCTGAATGTTTTTCTATTATAAGATTTTCTCATATCTATCAAGAAACTAGAAAATCCATTAAAATACAGTGTAAAAACTACATACAGTATTTGATTTTGTTTTTCTTATTTCCTTTTTGCTGGCAATGACTCGTGCTCATACGTCACGTCAGTCAGTCACTGTCAGAATAACAGTAAATTTAAACTTCATTTATAAACAAACTTTGTTAAAAAATATTAAACTCTTTAACTTAGACATTATTTTATTGGGAAGTAAGTAATAGTAAATAGAGTTCGAGATGTGAATGGAATTCGAGAAGTAAATTGATACAGAAAAGGGCTCCTCCCTTACCAAGGCGAAGATTGAACGCTATGGATTTTATCTAGAAATAATACACGTTAAAAGGTAAATATAATTATTTATTACTAGCTTATTTGTGTACTAATACTAGTCATTAATACCGAGCCAGGCACTCAACAACGGCACTACGCCCAAAAACATTGTCGGCCTCGGAATACCGTGGAAAGGTGTATCGAAGTACTCAAATCTCGCTGGCGATGTTTAAGTATTGGTTCATCGCAAGATACACTACAGCAGGACAAGTGCATTTGCATGTATTTGTGTTAACTGAAACAATAACGTGTTGTTTTATTGTACCTTACCATAAACCAGGCAATGATAGTAGCTTTAATATGATAAGTAAGGTAAAATTTGCAACTTAGAAAAAAATAATTTCATTCATCATGTTTCATTTTCAGATATCCGATTTTTTTGGACAAGCCTGCCACATCCTTCCCGAACCGCTACGACTCCTGTAAGCCAGGATCTACAGTAGATGACACCAGAACACTGAAGTCCGGCACGACCCAGGGACATAATTAACTGTCTTGGATCCCGCTACGAAATCAGATACTGATTTATCAGAAAATATTATAAGAGGAGAAGTAAAAAACAATAGTTTGCACTTCCCTCAGTTACTTTTAGTTAGTGATTATGAAATAAATGTTTTAAAATTAGTGACTTTATTTTATTGGTGTGAATGATATCTCTATCAGTTGAAATATCTCTCCTCTCTCGCTCTCTTCATGTTCCAAAAGGTTGTACTATGGCTATACCTAAAAAACTAGGCAAATAAAAACAAAATTTTCAAATCGTCAGATACGTGCTGACCAAAATCTATTTATTATAAGTCCGTTTCGTACTAGAGAATTAGTATTAGTTCTTGCACTTTGTATAGGCGTATCCTGAAACACAATTTTAATCATTAATATTTACTATATGTACCTACAGGATCACAATGTATAGTTTTATTTTATAACTTCAGTGTAAAACTTGTTGAATAGACACACTGACAATAAAATAACTCAAGGTATATGAAGATACAACTTCAATCATGCCTATTAGTAATATACGATCCAGAAGCGTTAAGTATTAGTGCACTTAATACCTTAAACAGAAATAAATGCATGAGATATACATCTCTATTATTTTCTTGAAAGAATCTTAAGGGATAATTACAACTTGGTTGTATTACTACTTTAAGTAATGAATAGTTTGGTGGCTACTTATCTTGCACACAGTACTTATTCCACCACGTGGAGAGACTAAATATGCTTCCAGCTCTTGGGATTATTTTGCGACACAACTATTATTTACGCGAAACAATCCAATATATTCAGGCTCCGCTATTTCAAAAACAACTTGCATATCCTGAAGAGTCTCACTTTGCCGACGATATAAAAACCTTTCTAAAACACGTGCATGCTCCAAAAAGTTTTCAGAAAGGCCTAAATCTCCCATTTTTCATTAATTTATTAAAAATATAAACTAGATGAACTGTAAAATGTTGCCGTCGAGTAACATCTGACAAATCTGCTTATTTGACGTATAGGAATTCACTCTTTGCAAACCATTTTACGAATTTCCATTGAAAAGTGTCATATTAGATGAATTGCAAATATGAAACACTTTCAGTTCATATTATGATTCATCAAAATATTGTCTTTTTATGACATGGCATATGTCACATATTATGATTCAGATATGAAACATACAATGTTACCTTTTTAGCCCCCAAGTATCGCAGATTTGATCTCTCCTTTCAATTTAAGGGGCGGCACAGACATTCATATGAGATGCAAATAGATTGATATCTTCAACGAGATGACCCTACCTACGACCCTACGAAACTAATCACAAAATACCATGCGTTGAAGATGTCTTGTGAGAGTGTTCAAGATTAAAAAGAATTGCTTTCAGTCGCCATTTCTTTGTAAGAGCAAATAGGTTTTTTTTGTATCTAAACTATTTATAATCTAAACTGTGATTTTAGAGAAATGCTGATGTTTAGTAAAAACGTCTTTTATTTTTAGTCTTTAATAAAAACTGCTATGGACAGAGGGCGCTTGAAGCGTTTTACGTGAACCATGTTAAAAATGCGTTTAAATATATAATTTAATATTAGCACTGCGGTATTATGAAAGGGAGGTTTTTGATAGTCATCTTATTTCATCCACTTACATGTTGACACACAGGAGACTCCTACCGAAACACTTAGATCGTTTTATAATGTAGTGAAAGCTGTTCCTTACCTGGAACCCCTCAGCTTCGGACAGCAAGAAGTAGAAGCAGCCGAACCAGTGCGCCAGGATGAGAAGTATGTGTATCAGGTTGATGACGCGCCAGAAGTTGGGGTACACTGTCCTCGACTCCACTATGTAGTAGAAGTCTACTGCTCTGTAAACCTGGAAGAAGTAAACTTGTTTAATATCCCTATAGAAGTAAAAATAGAGTATTCTTAAAATCCCTAACCTCGAAAATACCGAAAATATAGTCGTAACTCCTCTGGTGTTCCGGGTGTCCATCGGTGGCCCCAATTGCTTGCCACCCTATCCCACTACATCTATCTATCTTATCACTAAATGATAAGACCGCCTTTGTGCCCATTATTATTTTGTATTTATATTTGTTAATTCCTTTTTCGTATGTACTATATTATTAATGGTGTACAATAGAGATTATTTTATTCTGTAAAATATATCCAATAAATATATAAGAATATTGAAGAATTTCGTAAACTTTTTTGTCACATGATCTGACAGTCTGTAATCTATATACAAATAATATACAAGATGTAGTTTTGAAGCCGTGTCATTTCTCGGGGGCATGTCACAGAAGTCATATGGGTTCAATGTAAGAGAAAATTTCGGGCCAATAGAAAAAAATACGGCTATAATAAATCGCTTAAGTTGGACAGTATTTCAGAAAAAGCGACAGCAATGCTTCTTATTGGAGTTTTATGTAATTAGGAATAATATTAATTACGTTTTTGAGTTTGTGTGTGTTAAGCCACGTTATAAAGCTAGTTACAAGACGGCGGCGGCGTGTAGTTCACACTTACGGGTTTGCATAATTTACAGAAAAAATTAAAAAAATACCTACCATTTTTTTATTGATTTGGACTCAGAATCGATAGCCGAGTTACCTCCTAGAAAATGACACGGCTTTAAAACAACACAATGTATATAAAAGTGAAACCCGTTTCCCGTTGTAACGCCATAACTTGAGAACGGCTAGACCGATTTGGCTGATTTTTTTGTTGTTTTTTAGTTGTTATTGTTATTGTCAGGAGAAATAAAAGGTTCTTATGACAGAAATATCCTGAAAATCCTACGGAAATGGGAGAAAACGGGATTGCGCGCACGAAGTCGCAGGCTGAAGCTAGTAAAGTACATGCATGTTCATCATTATTACATTTTAATCGTTTTCATACTATGTCTCTTAAACTGCCAAACACCGCGAGGACACCGGTAACCGCAACCTATTGTTCTTTAATTGTGTCTATAATGACGGTACTCAAAGAGTTAAGACTGCACGGTTGGTGCGGTGGCTGGGCAACCGGCTGCCGTGCAACGTGTCGCGGGTTCGATTCCCGCACGGGACAACACTTTGTGTGATCTACAAATTGTTGTTCCGGGTCTGGGTGTCATGTGTATGTGAACTTGTATGTTTGTAAACGCACCCACGACACAGGAGTAAATCCTAATGTGGGGCAACGTTTTAAAAAAAAAAAAAATAAATAAAAATATAGTAGTCGAATTAAAATTTAGTTTAAAATAGTTCTCGCTAGTTAACCTTTATGTGTAAAGTAATAAAAGGCGAATTGCAAAACCACAAAATGAAACTCAATAGGTCCCAAATTACGTACTATAACCGCTAGTTCAATTTCGATATCGTTAACCCAACTAATAGAACAGGTTTAAGTACTTTTTTAAAATTAAAATTGTACCATTTTTAAGATGAAGAAGTTGTTAATATTTATTAATAAACTAATAACGTCTGGAGATGATTCCAATAAATCAAAGAGCAACTTTTAAAAAATTTACATAACATCACGCCTTTTATCCCCGAAGGGATTGGCAGAGGTATACATTACGGCACTTAATGACACAATGTAACAACCACATGTCATGTCACTATTTATGTTATGAGGCCCATGTAATAGCCATATACCGGGCACAATTCCAGACCCCGTGCTACAACTGACAATTTTTTTTTAAAACCCGTAATTCTTTGCCCGATCCGGGAATCGAACCCGAGACCCCTTGTCTGTCAGTCACACTTGCGACCACTCGGCCAACGAGGCAGTCGACTGTTTATTATATCGATATAAATAACACTACATTGGACCTTACCTAGGTAACTCAAGCTTCATCAGTATATTGTACATAGAAAGCTTTTACCGGTAATATGAACCTTGTTGACACGTACGTATGGATTATTATGTTTTTCTATTTCATCGTCTGTCTATCAATAAATAAATGTTGAATTGGAGTTATAAGTATTTTGTATCATAGTAGAATCACCTACCTTTGTTAAATTTTGAACTTATAACTTTGTTAATTTCTAACACATCATCACATTACGGCACTTAATGCCACTGTACCTACATTGTAACACCGTGCTACTACTGAGAATTAAAAGAAAACTTAGTAATACTTTGCCTGACCCGGGAATGGAACCCGAGACCCCTTGCCCGGCAATCACTCGGCTAACGAAACAGCAAACAAATTCTATTTGCAATTCAAGCTGTTTAAAGTCAGACTTCAAAATCCTTTTCATTGCAAATAATTTCTGTCTTTAATATCTACTAGTTAACTGTAACGGTTTTCAACGAATACATTATTGTTACTGTAACGTTTTATTCAGGGAATCAACGTTTTATGAGGTGTACCGAGTTTTATTGTTTAGGAGATTGTTTGTTTAGGAGTTATGTCAATGGTGAGGGTTGGGTAGCAATTTTTTTTAAAATGTTGCCCCGCACTAGCATTTTCTCCTGTGTCGTGGATGCGTTTACAAACATACAAGTTTACATACACAGCGTTGTAACTTGGTGCGGCTACCTGCGTTGCTGCTGTCCGCAACATTTTATGTATGCGCATAATTAATTATTTTTTACCCTCGAACTATAATAATGGAATCGTTACAATAATTTCATATGTATAACATTATTAAGTTATCATTATATTAATCACACATTACCTGCTTATTGTTTTAAAATACTTAAAAAGGCTTACACGGCCTGTAAAAGTGTTGTTATTTGAAGACGGAATTGTGACTTAGTATAGTAAGTTTTTCAGCAATTATTGAAGTCTTATTAAAAGTAATTATGTGGTGTTAATTTCTAAAGGACTCCCGGAGCGCCATCCTAACATAAGGTAGAATATTTAACAGATAACTTCGGCGTTCAACAGTTACCACTGTGGAACAACAAAATCATTTATTTACCAATTAAAATCGGCAGTAAAATGTACTCACCTTACAAAATCTAGGGAAGCGGATGATAGGGTTGGTGCCAATCTGTAGTTGCAGTAAGTCTAGGGGTGCCAGCGAAACGATGTCCAAAAGAAAATTCCGCGACTTTATGTAGTGTTTTGCTAGTTTCTTGGAGTCGTAGACCTGTGGATAGAATAAAGAGAAGTTAACCTCCTATCACTCTTTCTGGTAATAAATATGATTAGAAAATTATAGCGCATAGTTTATAGCACATAGCAGCGTTTTCCTGCTATTATAAGTACCTCGTAGGAGTGCATGCCGTGGACGCAACTGGCCAGTTGTCGCCCAGAAAAAATTAATAAATTCTACACTATATCTTAGCCAAAATGCATGACTTGGCTGTTTGCTCCTATTAAAGATCGCAAGTATGCGCCATCTATCAGGCCGTTTTGTTGGACTGTATTGTATTAAACGCTTTTAAAATATATATAAATTCTTACCATCAGTCCTTGCTCCAGGTAACCAGTTCGGAATTGCACGACGAGATCCAGAGCGAAGACCACGTCGCTGATGCCGTCACACGTCAACCAGAAATGATGGCACATTATCTGAGGACAAGAAAATATTAGTGATCCGAGAACTGATAAATCATTTGACTTGGAAAAATTTGTTTCAAGTTTTTGATAATTAAAATCAGACAATGAATAACAAAAACAGATATTTTTTAACGTTTCTGTCCTTGAACTTCCTAAAAGATACAAACTGGACAATAAAAGAATGCATAAAATACTTTAATATACCTTTAAAATAGATAAACGAATGAACAATTAAATTTTTTAAGGTCGTAATAAAATACAAAAATAAATTTTCATTCATATTTACTACAGTACAGAAAATGATTACACTATAAAATTGTGAACGATATCATTTTCTTTGATAAATCTATTTTTGACTCTAAATATTATTGTTATGTTCCTTTTCAGAATGAGTTTGTGGGTCATTGGACCCGGAGGTCGTAAAGCACATAATATAATGCCTATTATTCTCTGAAATGGTAGATAGAAATGTAAGTGTAACGGTGTTGAGTCTATTTCATGATTTGAGCGAATCTGATCTCTATGATAAGAATTCAAAGTCGAAAAGAGTAATCTTACTATTTAGCACGATTAACACCTTTAGCGCCGTGTCAGTAGCTGCGTTCATAAAGGTTGAACTTCTACCACCTTTAAAAGTGATAAACAACTTACTATTGGTTCATGAGAATTGTCCAAGAATCGAACCAAAATTCGACCATCGACTCAGTTAATCTTTTGTCTACATTATAGTTAGAAAAATCTGGAAATCACATTTGTGTAACATCAAACCTTTCACTACTTAAAGCAAAATAATTTCAATGCATTTCCGAAGCAGAAGGTATAGTCTAAATTCAGCATTGTCTCCTAAAAGTTATTTCGTTTCGAGATCTCTGTGGCTTACTATTGTTTTATTCATACACTTTTGTTAGAAATAGACAATGGCGTCAGTAAGACACGAGGTCGAAATAAGCTGGGATTTAGATCTACAATAACACTATATTTTTCTCTCTAAAGAAGTATTCAGAGTAGTTTTTTGTCACAGAACGGCAAACGAGGAGACGGATTGTCTAATGGTAAGCAACTGGCAGTGCATATGGATAACTCAAACGCCAAAGGAGTTATAATAGGGTAGATGCCTAATTCTTATTTTAATGTTCGTCTGGTAGCTTATTTTCAATCATTAGACACGTATTTTTTATTTTCTTACAGAAACGAATACTTTCGACGATATATTGATTTAAAATGTCGCGTGACGTCACTTCTATGTACATTTTAAACGTAGAAATGACGTTTTAGCCGCCACTCCTAAACTTTGATTTGTATTATCTAAGTATTGTTTCATTATACGGCAAAATAAAAAAAAAAATGTGTTTAATATTTTTTCATTACCTAACTTACGGACTAATTAGATTTTTAATTTTCATACCCTGTCATTATCCCAATTCGTGTCACCGTTCTTTAAAGTTTGGGGAGGAATGGACCTCCGATAACTTCATTTACATGGCAAAACACAATGCAATTATTGTTTCATGCCAATTTTCTCTAAGACCATAATAATGCCCAAGACATTAAGAACCTGTGTTGTTAAGTAATAATATTACTCCGATCGAGCTGGCCCTTTCGAGCAAAAGCATAGTTCTCCCAAGTTAAATCCTGGTATCCTTTATGTATTTTTTTTCTTATGATGCTAGCTCTAAGCTTAGTGGTGACAACAGAGTAGAACATATCTCATCAGCTTTACTGTTTTTATAATAACTATCGTGAGACATACAAAATTAACTAAAAATCGCGGGTTACTCACGTGAAAATAATGCGCGGTCGCGGCGATGTCGCGCATTCTATGACGTCGCTGGCTCATACAAGGAAGAACCCTCTGTGGTTTGAAATTATTAGTAGTATTCTTTTCCCAGTATTTTCGCATGAGTAACCCGCGATTTTTAGTTAGCTTTACTCGTCTAGTGGGTATCATAAGAATCCAGTTTTCATTTCTACCGCCATTTTCAATTCGAAAATGTATTCTAAATTACATAAAATATTACGAAATGAGAATAATATCCTGTTACCTAACTTCGTAACGACTTCAAGTAAGATGGCTACAAACGTAAAGTTTTGCAATTTTTCTCTTTTTGCGTTCTTTAAGTTTTTATTAGGAATTATATTGTTTTGGGTGTAGTGGTCACAGGTGCTGTTACCGAAAAGGAGGTCTTATAACACCTGAGTAATTGTATTAAGTATTAGACTTTTGTTATTTGGAAATGGTGCCTTAAATCTTCTCTGATAAATCTGAGATGTCTATTACACATTGTATTGTCAACATCTATATATCTATATACATATAATTTTTTTTTTAAGGGCGGAAAATCATCGAATGACTGCTCCCGCCTGGGTGAGGCGGAAGGGAGTGTCAGACTCTTACTGACTAAAAACCACCCCGTTCCTTCTCCTGCACATCGAGCCGGAGCCCCGGTTACCCGTTAGGTTCTCCGCGACATATACACATAATAAAATTGCAGGAAAGTGCAAACTGTAGAATTAATATTAAAAAAAAAATGTTTGGGGAAAGATCTACAAACGGCACCGTAGCTAAAAATATGGTTTATAGAATTTTTGTCTGTTTGTCTGTATGTATGTCCGGGCTAAACTCAATAAGTATTACATGGATTTACTTTAAATTTTGCATGAATATTACTAACAAGTAGAGTCAACATATAGACATATTATCACGCTATCATCTACGGGGGAGGAGCTGTGAATCACTATTCCACGCGAACGAAGTCGCGGGCAACAGCTAGTAAAGTAATCAAAAAGATTAGTTTCAGTTTAAATGGCTTACCTTTTCACTTATTTCAAATTAAACTATGTTGACAATAGTGACAAAATAGAATTTATTGAACTTTGTGCAGCTCTTCAGACGACAATTAATTATTTTAATTCAAGAATCGGCAGTCGTTAGGGAGATATAAGTTCAGCAGTAAACGCGTCATAGCTGATATAGTGATGATCATACAAACCGGTATCAGTTAAAGTCAAAACCTAAACAAAGTAAATAAATCCAAAAAAAGAAAACCAAACTTCATTACATTAAAAAAAAACTGAAGATAAAACCATATAGGTGTAATGGTGTCGAAAAACAAAAAAAAAAAAACTCAGGGGTAATGGAAAACAAAAGACAAAATGGTATAAAACACAATCGATGGCCGTTTTATGAGAGGTTGGTCTTGTGGGAAAACTTGTCGCCAAGTGTGACCTCTGTTTATGAAGACCCCGGGGGGCCGTTTTACCCTTTTCCAAGGGTAGATCATTTTCTCCCAGTACTTTGAGTAAGTGTAAATAAATAAAGTGGTGTTTCTTTTTTTTTTGATGTTGTAGGTATGGAAACAGTAGTTTGATTTTTAAATGGGTTTTTGTAACCTATATAATATAATCAGTTACATTACAAGACGTACATTGCATGCATTTGAAAATTTGCAGATATATTAACTATGCACATAATCTAGCAGAGAGCACATATATATATTTTTTATGGCATAAGCCGGTAAACGAGCTGCCGGATCACCTGATGGTGAGCAATCGGCGTCGCCCATGGACATTTGGAACACTAGAGGCGGTACAAGTGCGTTACCGGATTGGTGTACAGGTTTGTTCTATTAATTATATTTTAATTACTCGTTTGAACTTTCAGTATATTGTAAAAGAGGTTACCTGTCTACCTGACTTCATCAAAATTAGTTGAAGTAAAAATAAAACTCAAAAATATGCTTTTCATAATTAACTGTGAATTGAATTTTCTGTCAATATTTTTGTTTACCTACTAGACTTTAATAAAAAAAAATATTTTTTGCTTTATACGTTTAGATTTAATTCCAGTTGGGCGTAATATAAGTTTTTATGACTTTCCTAATATTACGAACAATAAATCAAATACCCAGTCAAATTCATTTCTGAGATTTCATTAAAACAGTAGGTTCTTTTAGAAGAAAGGCGACAGGTTCAACTTAATAAAAATCTTGTATTCATTCAGTAAGAACGCGGACTGCCCACAGATATAATAAAAAAAGTACTACCCAAACGACCAGAGGTTAGAGGTGTAATTTTTTAAAGCTTTTTTTTGTGTAATTTAATGAAACAAGCGGTCATGTGTAGGACGAAATTTCCAGTTACATATCAAGAATAAAAACAAATAAATATAACCTTTTCCCAATTCAGTTTGTCATACTAATAAACGAATTCCCTAAAAATATTCAAAAACATTTACCCATTCATCGACCTAAAAAAACATAATGTCATTCCAAATTCAGAAATAGAATAATGCTTCGTGCCAGTTTGAATTTGGAATCTAAAATACAAAATGTGAAAACAGAACAGTGACGCTTTGGAAAAACTAGACTGAACACAATAGATTCCTTCGTCGAGTGCATTTTTGTTCTCAATTTAAAAGTAAAATCATCTTCGATCGATCGAAGAGCAAATGGCGCGCAATAACAGCTTTCCGAGACAGTAAACCAAAGGTTCCAGTAATTTTGTTGCGGGATTTCGATGACAGTGGTCAGTCTATCTAACTAGGATTATGAGTATAATTTACGTAATAGTTTATTTTTAAAACGTCGCCTAGCAACTGTAACAGTGTGGCTACACTAAAATATTATTTTGAATTGTGGGTGTTACAAACATGTAAATTCTTTTGTACTATCTTTAGGTACTCTGTTTCGGAATTTGTAGATTACACACAAATGATTGTTTTATGCAAGGAACTTAAAATGGTATGTAAAATACATTGTTAATAAAGAGTACCTACTTACCTACACACAGATTTGCGTTGATTTACACAGAATTAATATATCTAATTCATAATTATTGCAAATTTGAATAGAAATCTAATAAAAATGTTGAACTTGTTAGAAAACTGGGGTTAACTTTTATTCATTTTCATAAAAAAATCTTTAGAATAGATGGTCATTAAAAATAGACCAATAGCTTGCAATAATTACCTTTCAAATAATAAATATTCCCATACAAAACTACCCTTTACTTTGACACGGAAACAACATTTTTAACACAACGATTCCGACATCCGCAAGCAATTCTACGACTTAATCCATCGGCTTTCTGTTCAGATTCCTCTGTAATTGAAGTGTGTTCTGAATAATGTATGAAAAGGTTGAGGTTACATTGGATATACTTTCATGACGCGATACATCACATTGTTAAGAATACGAAGTATTTAATTATTTATTTATTGGATATCGGTAACATTGATTAGGTTCGTCGAAAAGGTCATGTTTGTAAATAATTTTCTAATTTATTTATTAGTGCTGACGTGCTTTTGTTATGATTTACCTACATTTTTGTGTTGTTCATGTTCTTAGTTACCTAAGAACCTTACACTTGTAAGGGTGCGTCCACACCTGGCAAATGTGCCGCGAATGTGCCACTCGCGAGCTGCGTGCGTGCAGTCATGACAACGGTTTGGTGCTCTACTCATACGAGGTTCGTATAAATAATAATTTTAAATGCACGCGAACAGCTCGTGAGCGACTCGTGAGCTGCGCATTCGCGGAACCTTCGCCAGATATGGACGCACCCTAAGAACGAGCAATAATTTTAGGTTTCGAATGAAAAAGTATTATTTGAAATAAGATCATGAATCTAGAATATTCTTATACTGTTTATCTCAACAAAGTTACACCTATCAACAGTCAACCACTATGGACATGAGTGCATCGTTGTGGGCAGTTTCAGCTTACCATCGAAATGGCGTCTAAATACCGATCCATTGCTAATAAATAAAAACTTTTAGTATTTTTTTTTAACGGGAGAAAATGAATCGAATGGCTGATCTAGCCTGGGTGAGGCGAAGGGAGTGTCAGACTCTTACTGACTAAAAACCACCCCGTTCCTTCTCCTGCACGTCAAACCGGAGCCCCGGTAACTCGCTAGGTTCTCCGCGACAAACTTATAGTATAAGTATAAAATTACCTGTAATTCAGGGAAGCTCTGTCTCACGATGAGGGTCCAAAGGTTGTACAGCACAAAGATGGTGATTAACCAGAGCCAGTAAAAGAAGAAGTTCTCGTCAGGGTTGACAACGGTGCGCGGTGCTCTGATCTTCCGTCTTCTTTGTCTGTTCGTAGATCTGTGGTCTCCTGTGGCGCCTTCTGATCCTGTGTCTTCTACCTATGGGGTGAAATAGTTATTAGTTTTTTGTTTTTAGTATATTATTTAATTGTGTGTGTTTGTTATCCCTAGTTCTACGAAGAAGTAGGTCAACTTTTATATTAAGACAATTGCGGACTGATTGACCCATGTTTTACTACTAAGGTATCGAATTAACTATTCATCAATGAATAGATTTAGTTGCAAAACAATAAAGTTAATATAAACAAAAAAAAACTGGGTAAGTTTGATCTGCCAGTGAATCTACTTCTTGACTTATTTTGGACACTACTAGGATCATTGAAATCGTCTAACGATTAACTATCACACTAAAATTATAAATAGCGACCCGCCCAGCTTCGTACGCGTGCAATATGCATGTATTATGCATATAAACCTTCCTTAAGAATTACTCTATCTATTAAACAAACCCGCTTCAAAATCCGTTGCCTAGTTTTACCGATCTAAGCATACATAGGGACAAACAGACGGCGGATAGCGACTTTGTTTTATACTGTGTAGTGATGTGAAAGTTTCTTTGTTTGGATATTTGTCCGTCAATGCCGCTGAAACTACTGAACAGTTTCTGATGAAACTTGATACACAGGCAGGGTATGGACTGAATAACGTGATAGAATACTTTATCCCGATTAAATGCTCCCATGGGATAAAACAGGAATCATATTCTACACGGACGCAGTCGCGCACCAATAAAACCAGTCTGTTTATAACCATAATCTGTATGACTTAGACAAAGGTCAAACAAAGAATAAAAATTCAAAGCAATTCGTTATTCTCAGTGTCTCCACGTAGTGTTGGAATTCAATACCGCCTCAGGACACAACAAAATGAATTTTCTTAGGAAAACTGATACCTGACTAGAGTGGGTTAAGTTCGAAATTCTCAGTAAAACACGTTGTTTAGATAACTGCCTGAAGTTACCCAATAGATTTGGTCGATTCTATTACAATGGGTCTTGGTGACGTCAAAGTAAAAGAATTTCATTTTATTTTATTTATTGGTATTCAGTTATGGGGAGTAGCCAGCAAGTCTAATACAACATGTATACAAAGGGTCCAAAACATTATCTTGAAAAACATTGCCGATGCTCACGATAAACCACGTTTACGAAAAATGAGGAAATTCACGAGTACCTGAGGCCTACGAGTTTGTTCTACGTTTAAAGTAATCGAAACGAGAGCGAATTCAGCGCACTGATTGGTTGGTTCATGGAGCCGGCCAATCAAAGTTTCGAACGCGTACTCGTTTCGATTACTTTATACGTAAAACAATCTTACATTAAGGCCTCTAAACATCTCAAGGATAGCATCAGAAATAGAACGCTATAAAAAAAACATCGTGAGCGTCTCGCCCACCATCCCAATCCACTGGTCATCGAATTCAGCGCACTGATTGGTTGGTTCATGGAGCCGGCCAATCAAAGTTTCGAACGCGTACTCGTTTCGATTACTTTATACGTAAAACAATCTTACATTAAGGCCTCTAAACATCCCAACGATAGCATCAGAAATAGAACGCTATAAAAAAAACATCGTGAGCGTCTCGCCCACCATCCCAATCCACTGGTCATGGAATTACTTGACAATGGTAAAATTGTAAAAAGGTTTTTTAAGGGGGGAATATCATGCAATGACTTCTTCCACCTTGGGTTAGGCGAGAGGGAGTGTCAGACTCTTACTGACTAAAAACCTCCCCGTTCCTACTCCTGCACTTTGAGCCGGAGCCCCAGCAACCCGTTAGGCCTTCCGCGGCTCCGTATCGGGCATCAACCCTACTGGGCCATATCTGTGGTGGTCTGATGGCTCTTTGAGGCGCGCGCGGAACGCGACGCGCCGTACGCACGGGTCTGGTTCTGGTCGGGCGGCGAGCTACCCTTGCTCGCCGTCCGCAGACGGTGGCCGGAGATCGTCGCGCGATCTCCGACGCCCGGAGTGTCTCCTGCGACGGCTGGGGCGTGAAAAGGTTAGTTCCCTCACGCTTCCCGAATTAATGAAGCTAGCTGCTTTTTTATAGATATGTCTAGATAAGAACCAGCGATATCATCTATGGTCTTTTAAAATCACGTGAATATTAAAGTGTAAATCACAATTCAATATTCACGTGATTTAAACTCCAAAAGAAATGCATTCGCATTCTGGCCAATGTTGGGGGAACACATAGCTGTAGACCACACTTTAAAACACTCCGTGTCCTTACTTTGACTTCCCTGTACATATTGGATTTGAGCCTATTTGTTTACAAAAATATTAATCTTTTTAGTCGTAACCGTGACCACTATTCGCAAGACCGTCAACTAAGAAATAAAAAATTATCGCTTCCTACCTCCAACTTATCTATATTTCATAACGGCCCCTATTGCATGTCAATAAAAATTTACAACAAAATACCAAGTAATATAAAAAAGAAACAAAATATACTACTTTCAAAAGAAAACTTAATGAATATCTCATCGATAAATGTTATTATAGTTTGCAGGAGTTTTTTGAGAATAAACAACAAAACTAAAAAAAAAATAGAATAATAGCAATAATAAGGAAATTGCTGGTAATGATAATAAATAAATAAAATTGTGCAAATAAAGAGTTGGTAGATATGTATAATGTGTATGTAGGTAAAATGTAAACGAAAATCAATTGAAGCAATCGTGGTAAAATTTTAATAATATGTTATGTACAATCTTTGAATAATATAGTGTTTTTTATTATTTAATATAAATTGCAGCGCCCTTACAGGGTCATGTTGATACTGCTTAACCAAAATCATATGTATTATGTATAACACCTTGGTACCCACACATGAAGCAATAAAGACTTTGAATTTGAATTTGAATTTGAATTCTAATTATTTTTTCATGGAATATGTATAATAGCTAAAGAAGGTAAAGGTAAAGTATTTTAATGGCGTAACACACCGAAGTATGGTGAGTAAAAGTGTATGCGGCGAAAATTTTCGGAATAAATTATACCCCGGACATGTAATACCCATAACATAACCCATCAATCAATTTAAATGTAATAAATATGTTCAAGTTAATCCCATTTGTTGGTCCCGTAACATTATACAGGGTGAGGTTAGTATCGGTTACACGATACATCAAATCCTGTTACGGAATTTGTTTGTAAAGTGAGTTTTCTTTAATTTTTCCTCTTCCTGCTTTAGTATTAAGGTTGCATTTGTGTTTTCCTGTTCTTAATGGTTGTTGAGATGTTACGATTTGGAATTTGATGAATAATGTTATAATTATGTAGGTACCATTGTAATTGTTTTCTAGGTTTTTATTTATATTTATGTAAACACAGGAGTTCTATTCTGTATCCATGGTGTACCGCGAAATTATTTTTAATTTCTTTGTTTTAATAAAAACACTTTAAATGAACATAACATAACATCATGCCTTTTATCCCCGAAGGGGTAGCCAGAGGTGCACATTATGCCATTGTACAATGAAACACCCACTTTTCACTATTTATGTTATGAGTCCCATGTTGATGGGGTTGAGCCTATTGCCATATACCGGGCACAATTCCAGAATCAAAAATTCTATTACTGAGATTTTTTTTAAAAACCTAATAATACTTTGCCCGACCCGGGAATTGAACCCGAGACCCCTTACCCGGCAGTCGTCCTTGCGACCACTCGGCTAACGAGGCAGTCAACTTTAAATGAACTGCCTGAAAAAATACTTACATTTGCATTTATTTTTAAATTGGAAGTAACCATATCATTAAAACAACAAATATTAGAGTTTTGGATATTAACTTACATCAAACTTGCTTTAATTTCAATTTATATTTCCATAAAAGCATCCTAATTGGAACTGTCACTTCGGTTTCCGTGGTTCAAAAAGTTTGGGGTCACGCGTGCTCCGGACAAAATAGCTCTGTGGTAACTTGAGCCGCCCTCTATCGTATGTAACCTTAATCTGAAGTGAGGCTTCTAAATTCAATATTATATCGTCTAAATGCATGACCGGTAGATTTTGTTACATGCCAGGAGTTGGTTTTATGTTTTTGTTTATGGTTTTTTACTTTTATTTCAGTTAGTTGTGATCAACAGAGGTTGGTTCTTTTTAATTACTCATTTTGTCATCCATATTTGAAATAATATTATTGACTGATAGTTGGAATGTAAACTTCTCAGTCCTTCACCAGGTTTAAATATTCAAAGTTTTGTTTTTTTTGTACGAAAACGATCAAAGGTATTATTAATCAACAGGTCACAAGATAAATCAATGATACATATTTAGCTGATTGAGTTTTGATTGTGATGACTAATTAATATGAGGACTGATATAATAAAACTCTAATAATAATAGAAATACTCACAGTTTCTTGTGTTAGCGGTGTCTGTCTAGTGGAAAATCTCTTTAAAAAAGAGTCTTCTCTCTTCAACGGCGGTTTCTTCTGTATCGCTGAACTGAGCTGCACTGTCGTTCGCAACTTCATCCATCTTTGGTTCGATTTTGTTCTGCGGTCATAAACAAACGTCAGTGCCAAGAATATCAGTCAAAACTATAAAAAAGGGAGTTTAGTAAGCAAAAGTAGCCATGCTTTCAGATAGTTCAAGTATATTAGACAGACAAGAAGTAATAGATTACTTTACTTAGTTTGTTAAGCACAGACTTCTGGAAGATTCTGTTCATAATTCTTTTGGAAACTTACTGACATTGGAACATACTAATATTGTTATAGTTATGTGCGGCGATGCACTAGAATTTCGTGAACAGAAAGATCTCAAACACGTGCAAACAAAGAACTCTATTTTGACATGCGGCATGGCAACTCACACTAGAGAAACAAAAAGACCAACTCGAATATACGATAGTTTGTAGAGTGAGATATCAGTGATCGAATCTATCTTTACTAATACTAGTAACTAGGCATCTAAAGTTAAGGAGTTCGAAACTATTCTTCTATTGAAACATTAAAAAATGCAATTAAACAATGAAATAATATTAAACACGTTTCATTGTCTCAAGTGACAGCAGGAAAGTAGAATCATTTGGTGAACTAGTAAGACACAATATTCACAAGAAAAACACACATAATTCAGTGATTAAAGTACCATTCCCGAAGTTCCTATACATTGACGAAGGTAGCACATTAGTGGGAAATCATAAACAAACAATGAAATATAATAACAATCGACAACGATGCGGCTTTACCGGTGGTCCGATAGTATTCGAACCTCTTTATTTTCCTGAGTGCCTGGTAGTATGCCATGACAGCTTGGACGTGTCTCCATTTATGGCCGCGTTTGTCTGTGTCTGACTCCGCCCTCTCAGTGTCCTGCATGGACTTGCGAGAGCTTGACGAACTCGATGCAATGATCGGTCGCCTATAAAGGGATGTATCGTGTTATACGGAGACAGTGGTGTAGTGTGTGCGATGTCGGTGGAGGCCTGCGTGTCACTGTGTTGCGCGCTTTGGTGAGCTCCGAACCCTCCGTGATGATAATACCGTGCTAGATAGAACTAAAGCTAATCTATGAGACTACTTAATTATTCGAGACTAAAAAATCTAATCTAAAGAAGCAACAGCAAAGATTAAAATAAGAATCAAAGGAACGAGGTAAGAGGTAGTTCGTCACCACCAAAGCGGACAACACAGGTCGCAGCACACGATACATTGTCAACGAGACTTCACAAAGTTATCACATGCATAATGCCTACAATCTCGTTAACGGACAGAACAATGTAATCAGTGTTTATACAATATTTTAGCATTACGTGTCGTCTACACGCCCAGCTGTGCAAGGTCGTGAACTAACTTCAACAGTTATACTATTGCATTGCACAAATATTATCGTGTAGGCGTAGGGCACCAATTACGTATCAGTCGTTCGTATAGTCGACGATTTATTGTGGCTCTCAAGTGACGTGCGAAATGGCTTTCGTTTGGTAAATCAGTGCGAGCTAAGTGCGCTTTGATATATTGGGTTCCATTGCCCCTACATTTAAGTTTTCTCGTAAGACATAAGACTATGTTCATCATGCGATGACGTAGTGCTATTAAAACTAACATATTGGTTCAAGCAGTCATTGAAAATAATAACAATATCCAGGGTGTTTACATTTATTTCATCATTTAAATTTTTTCTATATTGCAATTTCTTTAATAGCCATTGCATACGTCATTTGATAGACATCACAGTTCATCTATCGGGCATACGTAATCAGCATTATTATTGGATCGTGCTTGCTAGGGTCGCAGCTAAGCGTATCCAAAGCGTAATGTGCCATTATGTCGGGCCACTTACATATCGTCGGGCCTCGCATTTGGAGTGAATGGAGATAACTTGCTCAACAGCCTGAACAGGTTGGGAAAATTGCTTATAATCAAATTCTATTACATTTAATTACAGTTCCTATGACACGGAATTGGGTGGTTTAATCTTAATTTAATTGTAAATGATTTTGGTGGCGATTAGTTTAACGGTGATTAATTAATTCTTGGTTGAAGGAATGTCGATTATGGTATACTCATTAATGGGTAATTGTGGACTTTACTTGTTGAAATCAGAGATGAAATGGCTGTATGAAAACATGGAGTATTTCTATGTAGATTATCCTTTGTAAGTGGGTTTAAATTTGGAATGCGATATTATAAACTACTTATGACATTATAGCTTTGAATAAATTGGAAAAATAAAGTGAGTAAAACGATCGTATTTTATTCTAGATCGGTTTTGGGCTTAGAATGCGTAATTACAGTTTTATTATTATTCTGTGACAGTACAACTGGTATAACATAATTAGGTTTATAGTATTTAAAACATGGGACGATACGAAACCATACATACTGCTTATTTAAAAAAAATACTTTATAATCTAAACCAGACTGTCAATTTATATCTCACATAACCATCTTTCTTATTTATATAGGTCTTTTAAACATTGTTTGGGTCACCATATAAAGCCCAAAATATTATAACGGTGATGGAAGCATCCATATTTTTACATAATTTGGTCATGGATCATTCTTTATGGCATTCTATGGGGGTAACTGACATAAAAATGATGTAACTCGCTTAATCTTGGTCATTTTTGGGGCAATATCGTGATAATTATGGAACGTGGGATGCTTGATAATATATTTTGGGGTATACGATTATGTTGGATTTATACAATGATGGCGGATTAAATAAAATGTATTTGTAAAAAATGTTACACGTGGAATTTACACTTTCGTAAAACAGTTAACAATAAATTGAACCTGTCTGAAATCAGAAGAGCTCAATAATAATTTATGAAACGAGGCGTTAAATATTTGTAGACTATTAAAATGACAGCAAAGAGCAATGGTTTTTTAAAATTACATTTTAATCGTTAATTAGCTAGCTAATGAATAAGATACGTCCTACCTAATTAAACCTGTCCACAAAATCACGCACAAATTAAAGAAAGAAACTATTTACCCCAACAAAATGGCTACCTAAGTGGTTTCCCGCCAAATTCGCTGTCAAAAAGACGACCAATAAAAAAGGTTATTTAAATTGAATTTTCGGTTCAAATGAGTTTAATTGAACCGGTTAATTGGATTAACCGAAGCAATTAATTACTTTTGGACCCTAAGAAAGTTTGTTAGTGTTGAATTAGTAAAAGGGTCGGTAATATGCCTCTATCATCCGCCTAGTGGTTCAATTTACAGTAAATAAAAGTTCATTTAGTGCTAAGTTTGTGTGTAAAGCGATTATATTGTTAGAATAGGTTTTGGGTTGTCAGATACGGAAAATAGATGTGAGAAGTGGTAATTGGTTGAATTAAATTCATTTTGAGCAATTTATTTATGTGCCAATAAATTACTAACCATTATTTTTTTACAGTTGGTTATTAGTTTCGATGATATTTTCAATGTTTTCATTAAATGGATTTTGCTGGATAAACAAATTTTGATTAAGAAATAAACAGTCCAATGTCAAAACCTTTAACCGCTTGAATGCCTGTATATGAGACACAATAGAAAATACATTAATACATTGTGTCTCGCGGGGATCCACGTTTAGACACACGACAGGTTAACAACAACACTTTTTCCAAATCTTATTACGTCATAATGTGACATCAAATAAATAGTATAAATTCAAATACAATGTCGCTTCTCTATAATCCTTGCACAACATTGCAACCAATTTTACCCATTTATAAAAAACTTTGAACTCCGAACAACAACGTTGGAATTAACGACGTCACTATACCATGTATATCGATATCACCAACACGGCTTACGTGGTAAGCCAGTAGGCAGCGATGAGTATAATCGAGTTATGCATCGAGTCGACTATTGATTTGTTGTGTTCCCGTGTATATGGGCCGCTTACTGACATTGAGAATTGAGATATCGATGTTGACGTGCTGTCGTCATCACATCACTAGTCCAATAAAATTTCTAACTGAGTGGTCAGGTTTTGTTTTTTTTACGTAAAATGTGGATTTTTTATACCAAATGGTAGACAGAAAACTATCATGAGATTCTTAATTCTTCTCCTCGTCTTCAATAGGTAATGCAATGTTTAACTCAGTCATTGAGTTCAATATGCATTGCTCGGCACGTTTCTTAATATTTAATCGACACAGAAAAAAGTTTGCATTCTTTCATATTCGTTATCTATACCAATAATTTCACAGGACTGATGACTGTTGATGAATCTAAGTGTATGTAAGAATCGTAGCAATTAATGTTCCATAGTGAACCTATACTAGACAGACAGAGGGTATGTATGTATCTATGTCTGTTTTTATTTTTTTTAAAAAACGTTGCCCCACATTAGGATTTTCTCCTGTGTCGTGGGTGCGTTTACAAACATACAAGTTCACATACACAATCACACCCAGACCCGAAACAACAATTTATGGATTACACAAAGTGTTGTTCCGTGCGGGAATCGAACCCGCTACACGTTGCACGGCAGCCGGTTGCCCAGCCACCGCACCAACCGTGCAGTCGAGTCATGTATGACTATGAAAACCTACACCCTTAGGCCTCTTTTTTGTTGACGGTGGGAAACCTTCAAAAGGCGTCTAGCTTTTTGGGGAAAAAAGATTAGGGAGTGTGGGATTATTACCCCACTAAAACCTCCCCAGTGGCCACTATCCGCAGTAGACCAACCTCGGAGCCTCCACGTTGCAACGCCTGTTACGGCACCTCCCTATGGATACCTAAATGTGTCTACCTACACTCTAAGGCCTACCTAATTCTTGTTACTGATACTAAGAATTTTGAAAATGAAAATGTATAATATACAATTTAAAAAATACACAGTATACAATTTTATTAGCGATGAATGTTATCACAATAATTCTATTCCAAATTTTTGAACCTCCAATAAAAACTTAATGTCGATATGCAAAGAGCACTTTACACCAATCCTCTAACACTTAACTCGTCGAGTACCGGTTTTATAGACACAATTAAAGAACAATAGGTCGCGGTCACCGGTGACCGCTTGGTGTTTGACAGATTAAATTGCAATATTGATACATTAAATGTTTCCACGACAGCTTGCAGAGTGTCTGCACGTAATTGAATGCAACTACATTTTATACTGCAATTGCCAGTCATTTGAATTGAATGACCGTCTCCCGCTTCGGGAAATAAAATCTGAATGTGATTTAAAATAGTTCTAAATCTTATTTTAATAGATTGTGTGAACGATTTTCCTGTCCTTTGTAGGTAGAAGTATCAGTTTGAGAAAAGTTATGTAGTTTTGTTAGAACCATGATAGCTTTTTAGAGGTTTTCACACGTTTTTGAAATCAAACTAAACAGATGCAAAAGTAATATTCTTGATTATATGTATCATCTGAAACACACATAGATATAAAATCATGTCCTTTAACCCCGGTGGGGTAGGCAGAGGTGCACATTACGGCACTTAATGCCACTGTACAATGTAACATCCATTTTTCACTATTTATGTTATGAGTCCTATGTATCGGGTACAATTGTAGACTCAATGCTACTACTGAACATTTTTTTTAAACCCAGTAAAACTTTGCCTGACCCGGGAGTCGAACCTCTCGGCCAACGAAGCAGTCTGAAGCATTTGAAGCAAAATTACCTATATTCCATTTTGGGTCAGTAACATGTAAGTTTTTAATATCTTTTTGCATCCTTTAACCTTTTTTTAAAATATTTGCTCGTAATTAGGCCTATAGCCTTAATATTTACAATAGGGTATATGACTAATTTCTAGTAGATTCTTTTAAAACATTACACACGTATTTTTTATTTTCGTACAGAAACGAATAGTTTCGACTATATATTGATTTGAAATGTCGCGTGACGTCACTTCTATGTACATTTTATACGTAGACATGACGTTTTAGCCCCCATTCCTAAACTTTGATTCGTTATATCTAAGCATTATTTTATTATACAACAAAATAAAAAAATACGTGTCTAATATTTTTTCATTACGAAACTGACGGACTAATTAGATTTTTAATTTTCATACCCTGTCATCATTCCTATTAAGGTTCGATAACAGTTGCTCAATACATACGTGTTTCGAAGCAAATTGTGAACCTAACATGCCTTTCTTGTGATGTGTGTTTATAAGACAAGAATGTGCATCGGATATTCTTATATTTTCTTACTGCTTACATAGGTGAACAAAATTTCCAACATTGTTATAATTATCATTTCAAGCATTATAAGTAAAGAACGGAATTGAACTCATAAGAAAATATAAAAATGATATTGATTCATTATAATAATACATTTTATACATATCAATATTTAAATATTTCCTAACAAAATCATAGTTACATAGACAATGTGTAGTTAGTGTATATTTTTTTTATTTATCTTCTATATTTGTTTTAATCAAGTTATTCACGAACGTGTGCAATTATAGGGCTTTTGAAAATGGAAGATTTCAAATGAAATTAGCACACTACAGCGCTTCTTTATTGTAGGTTAATTCTGGGTAAGGTTAATACGTAGCAAATTATCAGATAGCTTGAAACCCAAGAATATTGATAATGATAGTTACCTGAGTTCGTCGTTTATGATCTAATCTAAATAATAGAAAACCTCAAATTGACTGTTGAAGGGTGACAAAAATGCTGTACCTGATGAATTAATGGTTAACATAAAAATTAAAATGGATTATTTGTTTAGGGAATTTCGTTATTCGACTTTTAATTTATTACAATTTTCTCTCTAAATTGGAGTTCTATTTTATTTTTATATCTCTCAAATTAATTCTCTTTTATTTCAATCATGTGTTCACAGTCTTAAAAATAAGGCTGTAACTTTAATTTCCACATATCTTAATAAAAGTATGTAATTTAAAAAAGTTTACAATGACAATTCGAAAATAATACTCATTCAAAATAAATTACTAGATACGAATATTTTTTTTTAACAATGACATTTCTTTTTTTATTTCAACCGAATTATCATTCTAAACCTTTATGCTTAAAATCTAATCTTAAAAATGTAGTTCGAAATTCAAACAACTGTCAACGTACCTCTGGCCAGGACTCTTGCTTTCACTGCTTGCATTGTTACTGGAGTCATCATCTTCTTCTCTAGAGGTGGCTGCAGAGAGGACTCGAGAGGAACCAGCGTTAATTTCACTCCCATCGTTATCTTCTCCTTCTGACGTGCGGTTTGTGCCTTCTTCTGCCTGTGAAAAAAAGAGAGAGATTTTTTTAATCCGTGTCTAATAGCTGTCAGAATAGGAGTGTCGTTGTTGTCTGTTCTTGTTATTTGAAATGTGTTCGTTATCTAAATTGTGTGCTTTATTCTTTTTTAAAGAATTTTATGTTTTTAGTTAGGTAATTCTCTAATTTTTGTTTGTTTGATAGATTTTTAGGAACATCGGTAATTATTTAAATGTTGCCTATGATTTAATAATCCTAAAATTTTACATACCTAATTATCTTAATTTCAAACGTCTTTTATCTGTGTCCTCAAAAAGGACCAAAAAAGGTTCATTATGGGATCCAATTTTAATATAATCTACAACCATTTCGGCAAATATTATCGGAGTCTCACGGAAATGAGCAGAATCGAGTAATTTCCTTTCAACTTTATCCTGCATCGGTACTTGGTACCTTCTTGATGGAGAAATATTATGAGATAGAAAGAAATTGCTTGTCTGTGAATGAGGAAAGGAAATAGAAATTAAAATGAGAAAGGAGGTTTGAATTGCAGTACTGTTTTCTATGATTATTCTTTTTCATGTGTGTTTGCTAACATGCTTTTATGTTTTTTTTAAATTATGATATTTTTAATGTCAGGTTTAATGTTTGTTTTAGGTACCTACGTGTTACTTCTTGGGAACTGACGGCAAAAGAGCTGATAGAACACTTGACTGTAGGTAAACAGCCACACCCGCGTCATCCAATCATTCATCCAAGGTGTTCCACTACATTGCTGGTAGGTACCGTTTAGAATTTGTTAAGTAAGTTATACGGGAACGAAATACAAGTAAAACGAGTGAAGGTTATTGACACACTGTTTTGTTGCGTCTTATGTTTTTTACAAATTCGCGGGCTCAGCCACGCACACAGATAAAACATCACCATAGATTATACAATGATCATCGACTGTAGTAGTCTGTACACAAGAGGACTTGATTATTAAGAAAAAAATATTATTTTAATTAAAAAATTACAGATGTAATTTTTTGGTCTTTTAGTGTGTGTGGGGCAAAGTTTTTTTTTTAAAAAAAAAAAAAGAATTTATTGATAAGTTTTTAAAATAGTTATATTTTTGTATTTTTAACGGGAGCTTTCTTTCTCGTATGGGCGCCTGTACCTAGATACCTGATGGCGATAGGTAGGTAGATATCTTATAGTGCTTGAACCACAATTAGTCTTTTGAGACTGATATTTGATGGTTACTAACCTCTTGAATAAATAATGTAAACTGCTTTCTTAGGAAAAGAACAACTGAATTATTATGATATTTTTACCAAGTTGTTTCCTCTACGAGTAGGTAATATTTGTGAGTCATCACTCGAAGACGGCAGACTGTTCGTCCATAGATTATATTGATTGGCCGAAGTCGAGACGTTCGGTCAAGGTTGACAACGTTTAGGAATCACGTTTGCAATTCGGAACTTTTCCTCTCTAACCTCACTAACAATTTTTTTTGTTTTTTCTTTGTATGCCTGTTAAATCAAGGCGTTTATTTCCTAAAAGTTTTTTATAATATTGTTCTGCTATAGGGTGTTATATTAAAATTCCATAATATTCATACTTTTATATGAGCAAAATTAAAATAATGGCACTTAAATGTGCTGTGTACATATGTCATTAAAGTTTTTTTTTACGTGCATTAAAATCGTATCTTAATGTTGTGCTTTACAGCTAGCTATTGTTTACACTAATAATTATTATAAAGAGGAAATATTTGATTTCTTGTTTGAATTGAATAGGCTTGGAAACTACCGGATTGATTTGAAAAATTTAACTGTTGGAATCCTACATTATCTCTGAAGGATATAGGCTATATTTGATAAGAAAATAAGTGGGAACCTTGTTAAATATAATAGGATTTTTTATAATAAACTGAGCAATGGTGTTACAACAATTTTGATAATGTTACGATAGTGCAACTATATTCTTAATTATTTTATAAGAAGAAGAAGATATGTAGAAGAAAGTTTATATCAATTGAAACCACTAAAGTCAAAACTGATTAATAGCTTCTACACAAATCGAGGGGTAACGGGCTATTTGGTTTAAGCGACATTTTGGGCGATATTGAGTTATATATATATTCGGAATCAGCGAATTTTTCTCCGTCGAATGATGCCGGTTTCATTAAAATCGGAGCACTTTTTTGGCGTTTCAAACAATTCTATTTTCATGTTGTTTCCAAAGTGGCAGTGTATTAAACGACATGGATTTCGCATTTTTTATTAAATTATGTACTTGAACCATACCATCATATTAATAACCGAGACATAAACCAGTCACCCTATCTCTAATTATTAAGTCAACATGAGTTAAAGCGTTTTTCTTGTTTCTAATTTTTATTAACAAGTAACTTGAATCATTTTGACTTCCCACTAATCACACGGTGTGATGTCGCTTAAAACATTTGTCCGTCATCCAAATGCGTCATGGTACGTCTGTTAAACATTTCTAGCTGCCTCTATTTTCTACGCAGGGTGCTACTTAAACCAAATAGTTGTTTTCGTTTAGATATTTTGTTTAGTCATAAACCATTTAACCCTCATTTTTTTTTAAATGCATGTCGTTTTATACAGACGATAACATTGATAATTAATATTGAAACATTTTTCCAGTATTCATAGAAATACGAGTCGGTCTTTCAATCACTAAGTTTTAATATGGTACATTTCAATCATGTCATATGATACCATATTTATTTCATCGCCCTGGTGTTAAAAATCGTTATCATCCAACTGGACTATCGTGCGCTGGCGCTTCAGTAACTCCAGAGTGCGCCGAAGACATACGGGACGCGCGCACACCTCCAGTGTTTACGTAAAACGCTCATCGAAATTGAATCCTAAGTACTTTAATTTCAAGATGAACTTTGGCAACAATGACAATTTAAGGGCTATTGTGATGACATACAATCTACGGCTGATTTAGCAACAGCTTTCGGCGTTAGCGTCAAAACAATATTGGTACATTTGCGTCAAATTGGCAAGGTAAAAAAGCTTGATAAGTGGGTGTCCCACAAACTAAATGATCAACAGAGCTAAGTATGCATCGAGCAGTGCGAGGGGGACTGGGATGCCGTCTCCTCCTTTTGCGAAGCAGTTATGCTAGCTAAGGAGGAAGCGGGACGCGTGAGGCAGCGAAGCGCTGGCTCCTCGCAACCCAGCCATCGCGAAGGACACACCTGGCGTCGGGGATCGCGGGACGATCTCCAGTTACCGTAAGCGCGGGCCTGCGGACGGTGAGCATGGGTGGCTCCCGTCCGACCAGAAACAGACCCGAGCGTACGGCGCGTCGCATTCCGCGCGCGCCTCAAAGAGCCATCAGACCACCACAGATGGGGCCCAACAGGGTCGATGCCGATTCGGAGTCGCGGAGAACCTAACGGGTAACCGGGGCTCCGGCTCGACGTGCAGGAGAAGAAACGGGGTGATTTTTAGTCAGTAAGAGTCTGACACTCTTTCCCGCCTCACCCAGGCGGGAGCAGTCATTCGATGATTTTCCACCCTTAAAAAAAATGCATCGAGTAGTGCCTTGCACTGCACTGCTCAATATACACACAAATGAAAGAATTTTGATTTGCATTGTCACCTCCGATGAAAAATGAAATCTGTGTGATAACCACACGCGTTTAGCATGTTGGTTGAATCCTAGTTCAGCACCTAAACAATGCCCTAAACGAAAACTTACCCCTAGAAAAGTGATGGTCACTGATGGTCTAGCGCTCGCGCTATTCTGATTCATCACAAATTCTTACCAAACGGAGTGAGCATTACTACGGATGTGTAGTGTGAAGAACTGAACACAATGATGGAGAAGCTGACACATCTCCAACCAGCACTGGTCAATCGCTAATCTCCATTGCTCCTGCATTACAACGCGCGACCTAAAGCTGCACAAGAGACGGCCTCCACGTTACAAGAACTGGGGTTGTGAAGCTCTCCGACATCCACCCTACTCACCAGTCACCAGACTACTTCTTTTTCCAGAATTTGGATAACTTCTTGGCGGGAAAAAATTTAATAACCGAGAGGCAGTACAAAATGCATTTGAAGAATTTGTTGCTACCCGTCCAGCTGATTGAAGAAGGGCATCAATAAACTGCCACTGCGTTGGCAACGATGCATTGATTGCATGGGTGATTACGTTGATTATACAAATAAAAAATACATGAAAAAATCGTTTAAATTTTTTCATACAAAACGGCAATTTCAGTAAATGACCCATTAATTTAATTGATTTTGCTGAAATATAATCGATATTCCTATTGAAACTGTAATTATTACTCTAAATAAATACTTTGATATTGTGTTGTGTTTATTTATTCAATGTAAGCATCTGAGATTTTCGGTGATTGCGATATATCCAGGTTGTTTTATCAGCCATTAATCGCCTTAGATGTAAATAAACATAAACATTAAACGTTATAATTTCAATGTTATATGTCACATAAGTAAATTAGCCTGTCACTCATTTTAGTCTGAATTGGTAGTTAAGATAAATAGCTTGCTTCTATTAATTTTGGGTTTCGTCACTTCATATTTTTTAGCTGACTCTATAAATAGAGTGCATTGTCGCTTAATTTTTTTCCCTTGTAGCCAATTGTAGTTATGAAGTCACTTAAATCGTTTTTCCTGACTCTAAAAAAGGGCAGATTGTATTAAGCGACATTTATCTTTGTAATTAAAGGTCCGCTTTATTTAGAATTAGCATCAGCAACTAGATAATTTAATTTAAATTTCAATGCAATTTACCTCGTTCAAATAACTGCAGAAATGTTTTTGTTACGAATTTTTTTTCGAAATTTCAAACTTTAAAAGGCTCTCCTGTAAAGTTGCAAAAATTTCGCTTAAACCAAATAGCCCGTTACCCCTCGAAATGATTTTTAATTGAGATAAGCCCGCTACTAGATGGTAGCGGGGGCTTAGGGAAATCCCTAAACCCCTGGTAACTCCTGTTAGTCAGGATCTACAGTAGATACAACCATGAACACACTGGAACACTGAAGTTCGGAGCATCGCAGGGACATAAATAACAGCCTTGGTTCCCGTAACGAAATAAACCAGAAGATATTATTAGAGGAGAAAAAAAAACTAAAGTTTTGACTCACACAAATGATTGTTTAACTTCACAACAAATAGTTCCAAATAACATCGTTCATTCATAGCAAAATAAATTATTTATTTAACTTAGCAACTTAAGCCACTGAGTTAAATATCTTGAACCTCCGTTACCCAAAACTTTACAGTTTATATTTCTCCGTTAATTTCTCTATTCCGTTAAGTTTCGTGAGTGTCGTGAAAGTCGACGTGATCCCTCGACGGTCTTGGAACTTATAAACTTTGTCTATATAAGCCTAAGAAGTTACACAGTTGGATTTTAAATTATTCATGATTAGATTTTACTCTTGGTTCTTGTTTATTTTATTGGATAAGTTGTTTTTTTTTTCAATTTTCGGTTTTCGATTTTTAAATAGCGAAGTGTAAACGTAGAGGTTATGATTTAAGAGATACCTTTTTTAATTTAACAATTTTCTTTTTTATATAACAATACGCTTAACTATAGTCAGGAGATTTAAAATATTTTTAGCTAAGGTAGGTAGTTGATTTCCGATTTGTAAAATTTTATTTTCTGGATACGTTGTATAAGATGTTTTTAGACACCTATATTGTAATAAAAGTATTTTAAGGTGATATACACCTATATATCACCTTAAAATACTTTTATTTTTAAATTATAAAACTATCACAGGCGGGCAGAATAGATTGCAGCTTATTTATTCGATCCTATGCAGCTGTGGAATAAATATATTCAGAAAACAAGGGAAACAGAGAGAAAGGGAAGGATAAGGTTGTCATGAGATATCTCGTTTATTTTTTAAAAAGCTGTAAAGATATTATAATTATTTTACCTGTTAAATCCTTCTGTGTGAAGTGTTGGTGTATTAAAAATGTTAGTAAATATATTATTATAATATAATATAGATTTAAAAAGTTCAATATATAATTTCGAGCACATTCAATAACTGAAAAGGCATCACTAAAAACTGTACACGACCTGATACAGAAACGTCATTTTTTATAGGTGAGTACTTCTGCTATAGTCATATATATTAAAACGAAGAATAATATTTCTGTATTCGGTTGTGTGCAAAATTATGTATAAAAAAGAATTGCAAAACACCAAAGAGAAAAAAACAATACATTTCAACGCACACATAAAAAAGCAAACACCTAGAAACAAAAAAGAACAAACAAATAAAATAAATAAAAAAGCAACATTCAAATTAACGGCAAAATTTTGTATTTGGAACGGCCTAAATAATTTACGAAAATTAAATGCTTCGAGAACTTTCTACAGCCATTCGAATAAGACCAATTAAAGTCGCAACATTTTCGCGTTTCGAAGTTCAGAATCGAACAAAAACTTACCTGTATCCGAATAAGTGGTATTGTCTCCTCTTTGTACATAATATTTAGGTTCAAACATAAATATCACTTGTTTACTTTTGTTTATGTATGTATAAAGTATTTATTGTTATCTATTTTACAGGAATTTACATAATTGTGTCTATGTACTAAGTATGTGTGGGGTTTCGTGTGTTTTGTTGAAGCTGTTTGTGTTTGACGTGTACTAGGGTTAAGATAGGTGGACTTTGTTTAGCGGTTATTCACGAAATCTGTTTGTTTGAAATTTATAGTCAAAAAGAGAATCTATTATTTCGTCAGTAGGTACTAAATAATGTCCACTTACCTCGATTCTGAAGATCGTTACTGTGAATGATTCGGTTCTACTTTATTGGCGGAAAAGTTTTGCAATGATATTAAATAGCTAAGGTACGCTACAAATTCACTCTGATCACTATGACGCAATAAAACAAGAATGAAAAAGTACTTTTTAAACTTTTATCTACGATTAACTATAGAGTATTATTGCATTTTAAAGTGAATCATTAAGATATTATATTTTCCGCTAATAAAGAAGAAGTACCAGTAATTAGTTACCTCCCGCAATTTCCTGATGCCCTGGTACTCTAGAGATGACAACGAGTGTAATTTTAAATGCGTGGTAAGGTAATGTTAGTGAGTGTACATATATAGGGTACCTATAGGACTAATGATGAACTATGCACATAGCTTAGGCTGCTAAGTTATATAATTTCTAACATATAATGAACAGTAGTACTATATACCAGTTTCAATACCTCCTATTTGTAGATTTACAAACTAGAGGTAGACACATTTTGAGTGGAGTCTGGTTATTTTTTTGTCTTTGGTAAGAAAAATAGTTTCTTGGTGACGGCTAAGTAATATATATAAATAACTAGCTTCTGCCCGCGACTTCGTACGCGCAATCCCGATATTTCCCGTTCCCGTTCTTGATTTTCGGTAAAAAGTAAAAAAAAGAATTAGGTAAAAAATATCCTATGTCCGTCTCCTGGTTCTAAGCTACCTCCCCACCAATTTTCATCCAAATCGATTTAGCCATTGTTGAGTTATAAATAGTGTAATTAAATATCGCAAAGTTGTATTTATGACGATAAATAGTCATACACATTCTATGTCACTGTCGAATAAGAACACGATTCAACAATAGATCGTACGTTTTACGATATAAATAGGTAGCGATAAACATCGTTTACCTTTTTGAACACTTTGCGTTCTATACTATCATCGCGTTGTAAGCGATTGTAAATTATGTTAGAAAAAAGTCGAGATACATAACATTCCGATCGACGACAAAAATGCATCGCATACCTCTAGCTAAAACCGAGTTGACCGTTTCATTAGTAGGTGCTCTTTCGCGTTTATATCATTGTTCGAGTCGACCGTTGACGATTGGGCATTCTGGACCACCGCGATGGCGAACTTGTTTCGCCGAGCGAAAAGTGATCCAGAATGCCTAATCATATACTACTATCCAAAGTGAGAATAACTCGAACGATCGTCGGTCGAGTAGAGAGTCGAGTCGAGTATCGATTATTGGGCGTTCTATACCACTATAGGCAGCGAGGCGCACTCGCCGAGCGACTTGCCGATAGTGGTATAGAATGCCCAATAATATACTACTCACGACTTTCTTTTATATATATAGATTATATAGAGTGATACCACGGCTTCACAGAAAACCGACGTGAAATAACACTTGCATTGTGTTTCGATGGTGCTTGAGCTTTCCGGAAGCCCGATTAAATTAAAATCCTGATCTGCGATTTCCAACCCATAGCGCGAACATTTTGGTAAACCTCTCTTTTGTAAAGCTCTCTCATGGACTGTAAACGTGATGTAGGTAAAGTTGTGATTTTATATCAAAATTCTATGTCTATTAAATAAATCTATGAGCCGCGGAGAACGTAAAAGATTACCGGGGCTCCGGCTCGAAGTGCAGAAGTAGGAACAGGTTGGTTTTTAGTCAGTAAGAGTCTGACACACCCTCCCGCCTCACCCAGGCGGGAGAAGTCATTCGATGACTTGCGTCCTTAAGAAAAATTAAGCAAATCTATAGATGAATATCTTATTTCTAGAAAATAACTAAAGTTGTATGGAAAAGCAGAATTAATCTTAAGTTCAAGAATGTAATTTATACTTCTCTCAGTAATGTAGGAATGTTAATCGTGTTTCATCGCGGCGTGTATTTATAAGAAATACATCAAATTCTTCCCTGAATTTCGTGTTGGAGATCAGAAGTGTGATTGCTTTTTTCTTATTAAAAGTTTTCTACTCAAATTAGGTTTTATATTAAGTACAAATATGCGATACTTATTTACTTAGTATTTATACCTACTTATCAAATCTGAATTAAAGCAAATAAATCATGTTTGAATATTAAAAAAAAGTGGTTATAAGAAAAGATGGAGTAAAAAAAAGTTGATAGGTAGAAACAATAATTGTTAAGAAATTATGAATCAAACATTTCAAGGAAGCGAAAGATATATGTTAGATTTGTAGCAATTGGCGTTCCATAGTCTCTGCCTACCCCTATGGTAGACAGGCATAAGATTATATATGTATCTATGTACGTACATTTCAAGAAAGGTCTGTCAGCAGTCTTATTACTGTTGTACTTCAGCAATCAAATACTAATAATTATTTTTATGCAATTTTTTGTGATTTAGCTTTTGAATTTTCACCCCTATAATTATCTCCATTCCAAAAATTTACATACTTCACTTTTATTTAGGTATCTCAATCGCAACACACAAAAGTAGCCATTACACACACACACATGTACTAAAATATTACTCCTAACAAGAAATACATCCCCAAGGCGAATGTATGCAAATGTACGAATTGGATTTGAATAAGACATTTATTCTATCTTCATAGCGAAGTGAAATATTTGTATTTGTATAACAATTCTGTTGGTTTTGGTAATTGAAAAACAATGTGTGTGTTTAACTGTAGACTGAGACTTTGAGACTTCGTGAGACTGTGAAATGAGGTTGTATACCTTGCGTGTGAAGTGAAGATTTCATTGTTAAAGGACAAATGAAGGTGAACTTATATGCACATCAAGTAGTAGTGCTTGTTCATAAATTCATAACTGTTGAAATTTTTGTGAAAATACTAAAAGTAGGTATACTTTTGTTTTCCTTATAGTTTGCAAGAGTTTTTTGAGAATAAACAATAAAACAAAACTAAAATAAAAAAAGTAATAATAATGATAAAAAAGAAAATGACACTTATGATAATAAATACATAAAATTGTGCAAATAAGGAGCTGCTAGATATGTACATATAATATGTAGAATGTAAATGAGAATCAATTGAAGCAATTGTGGTAAAATAAAATAAAAAACTTTAATAAATATGTTATGTACAATCTTTGAATAATATACTGTTTTTTATTATTTAAGACAAATTGCAGCGTCCTTTCAGGGTCATGTTGATACTGCTTAACCAAAATAATACGTACACAAGAAGCCATAAAGACTTTAAATTTGAATTTAAATTCCTTACAGGAGCTATGGGCTGAGCTGTTATATTTATAGGATGTTTTGTGTTTAATTTTAACAATTTTAAAGAAAACAATTTAAAAAAAAAATCTTTGCCCCACACTAGGATTTTCTCCTGTGTCGTGGGTGCGTTTACAAACATACAAGTTCACATACACAATAATACCCAGACCCGAAACAACAATTTGTGGATCACACAAAGTGTTGTTCCGTGCGGGAATCGAACCCGCAACATGTTGCACGGCAGCCGGTTGCCCAGCCACCGCACCAACTGTGCAGTCAAGACCATATACAATACTGTTTTATTTTAGTTCAAAATATTGATTGAGTCAGCTCAATCTGGTGTGTTCAACTGTGGTGATCTATCAGTGGGCAGTACACAAAGATATTATATATTATATATATATACTAAACTTGTAAGATTTCTTCAAGAAATTACTTTCGTTACCAAGAAAATATAATTTGTTTAACATTTATAAGGGTGCCGTCTCATCTGCCTTAGTTTTGTGAAGTTCGATGTAAACATATTATTTATTAGAGTAGAATATTAGACTGCCTCGTTGGTTAAGGGGTCGCAAGTGCGACTCGAGCAAGGGGTCTCGAGTTCGATTCCCGGGTCGGGCAAAGTATTACTGGGTTTTTAAAAAAAATCTCAGTTTCAGCACGGAGTCTGGAATTGTGCCCGGTATATGGCAATAGGCTCACCCCCTATTACATGGGACTCATAACATAAATAGTGAAAAGTTGGATAAAAGGTATGATGTTATGTTATCTTATTATTTATTATGTTAGAATATTATATAAGATGTCAACGTAACAAATTATATAAATAAAATGTTAACAAAATTTTGTAGCTTGTACAAAAAAAAATGCATACAAATTACTCATTGATTTCTTTTTAAATAGGTACCTAACTCATTCATTTATTATTCATCTCTAAAATACCCATAATTTGGTTCTTTACTTAGATAATTTTATTATTGGAAATATAATAAACTACAGTTTACCGACTACGATATACGAATACGATAAAAGTGTCTCGATCAATAAAAACCGGATTAACTAAAATCGAGGGTTACTCACGTGAAAATACTGAGAAAAGCTCTACAGTTTCGAATCACAGAGCGGTTCTTTCTTATGAGTAGCGTGCGCGGTCGCATCGATATCGCGCATCCTACTCATTTGCACGTGAGTAACACGATTTTTAGTTAATTTTGTATGTCTCACGATAGTTATTATAAAAACAAAAACAGGATTATTAAATTCGTAAAATACATTTAGAGAAAAGATAGGAATTGATGAGTAAAACCATGCAGTGCATTATAAAATTTGAATTCAATCAAATTGGAGACAAAAGAGATAGTATAGCAAACCTGCAAACTCTATTTAGCTTAAAAAATTAAAAAAAAAACAAAACATACAGATAAAAAATGCATTTCAAAGAACGTGCCAAGATTATAAAAGAGGCGTGGAATTGTTATGAAAAAATAACAATGTGTGATGTGATGCAAGTGT